ATCTCTTTTTAGCCCTTGTAATTCATTTATTGAGGAAACCAGGTCATTGGTCTTGTAGAGTTTCTTTTAGTCTAGATTTTACTGGTCGCATCCTCCTCATTTTTAAAAAATAAACTTTATTTTTTTAAAAGATTTATTTATTTATTTGAGAGAGAGAGAGAGAGAGAGCAGGAGGAGGGGCAGAGGGAAAGAATTTCAAGCAGGCTCCCTGGTCAGTTGGAACCTGACAACACAGGGCTCAATCTCAGGACCCTGAGATCATGATCTGAGCCGAAATCGAGAGTTGTATGCTCAACCCACTGAGCCACCCAGTCACCCCTAAACTTTTTTGTAGCAGTTTTAGATTTACAGAAAAAGTTGTGAAGATAGTACAGAGCTCCCATATAGTCTGCCCAGCTTCCCTATTACTAATATCTTATATTAGCATGGTATATTTATTACAATAATGGACCAATATAAATACATTATTATTAATCAAAGTCCATACTTTATTCAGATTTCCTTAGCTTTTATCTAATGTCCTTTTTCTGACCCAGGATCCTATCCAGGATACCACATTATTGCATTTAGTCATCAGGAATCCTTAAGGTCCCCTTTGTTGTGACAGTTTCTCAGACTTTCTTCATATTCAATGACCTTAACAGTTTTGAGGTGTGCTGGTCAGGTATTTTGTAGAATGGCCCTCCTATGGGGCTTAATGCTTTCCTCACAATTAGATCAGGTTATGTCATTTTGGGAGGAAAACAGCTAACATTAAGTACCATATCCATCACAAGATATCAAGGGTGCATGCCATCAACAGGACTCATCACTGTTGATGTTGACCTTGATTCACCTGGCTAAAGTAATGTTTGTCAGGTTTCTCCTCAAAGTCACAAAATTGCTCCCCCCCACCCCCCGCTTCCCATACTGTCCTCATTGGAAGGAAGTCATTATTTCACAACCCACACTTACAGAGTGGTCAGTTGGGCTCCACCTGCTGGAAGACAGAGTATATAAATTTTTTTTAATTCTTCTGCATGGGAGATGTCTCTTCCCGCTCATTTATTTACTTATGCATTATTTTTTTCAGTAAGCTCTACACCCAACATGGGGCTTGAACTGATGACCCTGGATCAAGAGTCACATGCTCTACTGACCGAGCCAGCCAGGTGCCCCTACTTATGCAGAACGGACCCACAGATCCTTACTTTATACTTTGGGTTATAATCCAATACTTCTTTATTTTACTGGTCAAATTGTTTCAGCTTTGGCCATTTTTTTTTCTTTCAGTTAAAAAAAATGTCCCCGTCCCTTTGACATAGTCCCATCAATATGTTTTTTTTTCTTTTCATTAAAAAAAAGAGATTTCTCACATCACAAGATGCTCACACCGAAATTTCTTGTCCCAGTGCTTGAATCAGCCATTTCTCCAAGGAGTCTTGGTTCCTTTTATTAGAAAATGGTATTGGAAATCAAGCTCTGGGCACTGGGTATGCTTTTTGCCACTGGGCTATCCCTCTTCTATACCCCCTCAGCTGACAGAGCGAGGAAATTGGTGTATATAAATCCTTGTGTATGCACATATCTATAACTATTTCTATATGTAACCATCTGTATCTAAGTTAAGCTAAACACAATTTCATACTGATGTCTCCAGCTCTAATCCACTACCACATGGATCATTTTAGGTTCTTCCTGATATTTAAAAAAGATTTTTTTAAATATTTCTTGTAAAATTGTACTTAGATCCAGATTCAAATTCAGTTTTTTTGGCAAGAATATTTCATACTAGGTGGTATATTCTTCCATCATGAGGTACATAATATCTGATTTTCTTTTGGTAATGTTAGCAGTCATTGATGATCATTCCCTACGATCACTTACAGTTTAAAAAATAGTGAAACTATGATTGGCTCTTTTTTCTTTGATTAACTGGAATACCCTATATAAACTCTACCTTATTAAATATTTGGGACCCCTGAGGTACAGCCCATAAAAAAAAGACAGGATAAATGCTTAATCCTTTTCCTCCTCCTCATTATTATTATTTTAGGATTCAAATAGTATTTATTGAATCAATGGACTGATGATCTTGGAGCCTCCCCAAATTTCTCAGTTCTCTGTAATTTAGGGTGTCTGTACATTTTTCATGGCCTCCTTAAGCCAAAAGAAATAGATATCAATTTCACTTACTGAATAGTTAGGTCCAACCATCTTAGCAAGTATATATGTCCTGACCACATGGCACCTGTTTGTCACCACCTAACATCTCAAACCCTCATTCTCTGTTCTACACTGATTTTCATCCCATACTTGCTTTTCATCACAACTGCTAAAAACCCAGCTTCACAAAGATATGACATCATCAGAAAGGATGTAGCCTTCTAATGAATCTAATCATTGAATCGAAGCTAGCAGTGTTCTTGATGTCTGAAAGAGACTACTAAATTTTAAATTTCAGAATTTTTGTTTTTAACTTATTTTATTTTTATTTAAAAAAATTTTTTAAAGATTTTATTTATTTATTTGACAGAGAGAAAGAAAGAGGGAGCAGCAGAGGGAGAGGGAGAAGCAGGCTCCCTGCTGAGCAGGGAGCCCGATGCGGACGCTTAACCGACTGAGCTACCCAGGCGCCCCATTTGTTGTTTTTATTTTTAGCATTGAAGTATAGCTTACATCCGATGCTATATTTGTTTCAGGTGTACAACACAGTGATTTGGCAAGTCTGTACATTACTCAGTGCTCACCACGGTAAGTGTGGCCACCGTCTGTCATTACACAACGTTATTAAACTACCATTGCCTCTATTCCCTATGTTGTACTTTTCATCTCCATGACTTATGTATTTTGTAACCAGAAGTTTGTAACTCTTAATCCCCTTCATCCATTTCACCCAGTCCCCCACCCCATGACCAGCGAGTTATTTTTGGTTTTGAGTACCATTATGAACTTGGGGTAACTCTTGAGGGACATGGCATTGCTCAGCGATCTACCTCCAGCCTTTACTTCTGGAAACTGTGCCTCAGGAGGGTGGAATGGGGGAAGGGGATGGAGGCTGGCTTCCCCCAGCAGAGGCAGAAAGCAGGGCAGAGGCAGAGAGCAGTTTGGAAAGGGATGGCAAGACTGGAGAGGCAGGAAATCTTGGGGACTTTCATATTCATTCATACTGAAAAACCTCTGGTCTCCAAAGTCATTAGTCCTTATATAGCTGTTGCCTTGGTTTCATAGAGTTTTCCACATCGCCTTAGAAATGGCTGAATCCATCTTTAAAAGCCTCCTCCAGCAACCAGGAAAGAAAAACAGCCTCCTCCAGCAACCAGGAAAGAAAAACAGCCTGAGGCTCTGGGAAGGGAGCGTTTCTTCCATGTAGGAGAGAAAGCAAGTGGCCTTTGGAATGTTAGGGATAAGGGTTGGGGCACCGGTTGCTTTGCCTGAAAACAAATTTAAAAATCACCACCGGAGATTCTGATCCAGTTGCTCTGGGGCGGGACCATGGAATTGGCAGTTTTTGTGAGCTTTTTGCAAGGTGATTCCAATGTTCCACAGGGGCCACTTCCAAGCCCCCTAGAACTCTAACAGGCCAATGAAATTGTGCCATACTTACAGTCTCATCACCTTGATCCAGCAGCCTGATTCTAGTAGACGCTGTCTCTGCCATGTTATTCAGAAGACTAAGCTAGGAAAGATGATGCCAGGGCCACCCCCTCTCCCCTTGGGATGCTGAGGCCTGATGTTGGCTGTGTTCCAACCCACAGGTCTTTTATATAAGACACATCACTCTGCCCCTACCCTCGACTCCAAGGACGGCTACAATAAATTTGTGCTGGGCACTGTTCTAGGTGCTTTAAACTTTTCACTATCTCTAACAGGTTGGTATCATCTTCACTTGGGAGATGAGCAACCGGGGATCTGGGAGAGTTAAATGACTTGCTAAGGTCACAAGCCTGTGTCTGGACAGTTCATGGGCTCTTTGCTGTCATGAGCTGTCACTTACAGGTTGTGACTTTAAGCACACGCCCTCTCAAGGAGCTGCCTGCGCCCTTCCTCTGTATAGTAAAATATTGACTCTCGGTGTAGGGGCTATCCGCACGGGGCCTGTGAAAGGTGGGGAAGGCCTGGCCTGGGGTGAGGGATTCTGAATCCCCTGTTCCTCAGCATCAGGCACTAGTAACCCCCTGCCCTGGGAATGGGCTGTTCCCCACCTTCCTTCGCAGCTCAGGGGTCTGGTGTGTATGGGTAAAGTCTGGAAAGCCTTCGGCACTTCTACCTCTGACCCTTCCTGTGAGCGCGGCTCACACCCACAGCTCTTACTCACTTAGCCTTCCCCTGAGAATCGCATCAGTCCTGTCCTGTCCTGTCCGCTGCCTACCGCCGCCCCCAATTTCTGTCCAGAGTACACGTGTTGACCACCCCTTGTCCTATAATCCCCCATCTCAAAAACTGCCGCCGCCATACCCTCCGGCCATAAACTCTGACCTCACCCTAGCGCAACTGTCCAGCGACATTCAACCAGCCACTGAGTCGCCTCCCCCGCCCCCCACTCCGCCCCGCAGGGCAGCTGTTACACCCGTCGCTCCTTCCCATCCCCACCGCCCAAGGACAGGCCAAGTCTCCGAAGCCATCTCGGCTTCAGTCCTTCCCAGCCCCGACCCCAGCCCCGGGCTCCGTGTGCCACCCGAACCAGACCAGCCGCGGTTCCCTGACGCTCCCGGGCTGCCTCCAACCCCAGGCCTCGACCCCAGGCTAGCCCGCCCCGCCACCCGCCGGCTCCAGAGGCCCCGCAGGCCCGGCACTGGGACGGAAGCCTGACTTTCCCGCCTGGCTCCCCGCCAGGGACGCCGGCCACGCCGCCTCCGCCCCGCCCCGCCCGGGGCCCAACCCGGAGCAGGCTTTCGGTTCCCCCGAGTCCCGCGGCAGTTGCCGGCTCCCCTGGCCTGCAAGCCCCGCCCCGATTGGCTGCCGCCGGGCCCGCCTGCCCCCTTGGGCCCTCGGGACGGCGGCGGGGACTGCGTGGGACCATGGCCGGGATCCGCAAGCTGGAGCTGGAGGAGGCCCTGGTGCTGCGGTCTGGCTGGCGGCACGCGTGCCACGCGCTGTTATACGCGCCAGACCCCCCCATGCTGTTTGGCCGCATCCCGCTCCGTTACGCCGTCCTGGTGAGAGGGGGCGCCCCGCCCCTCCCCCGCCCCTCCCCCGCCCCCGTCCCGGGAGACGCCAGCCGGGCGCCCGGGCGACCCCGCTTCCTCTCCCGCAGATGCAGATGCGCTTTGATGGGCGCCTCGGCTTCCCCGGCGGCTTCGTCAGCGTGCAGGACGGCGGTCTGGAGGCCGGGCTGAACCGCGAGCTGACCGAGGAGCTGGGCGAGGCCGCGGCCGACTTCCGCGTGGAGCGCGCCGACTACCGCAGCTCGCACGCGGGGCCCGGGGCGCGCATCGTGGCCCACTTCTACGCCAAGCGCCTGACGCTCGAGCAGCTGGTCGCGGTGGAGATGGGCGCCCCGCGCGCCAAGGACCACGGGCTGGAGGTGGGGCCCCGCCCCGGAACCCCACCCCCATGGCCTCCCTGCCCCCGAAAGCGGATCCCCCACTTTCCTGGGAGGTAGTTGTAATCTTGGGCTTCTTTCATCTGGTTGACAAGCCACAGCCAGCGTAGTCTCCCCCCAAGGTCTCTGTCCCTTTCCCCCCTTTTACTGGCCTCTGCAGTTGTTTATCTAGAACGCACTTATCCAAAGCTCTCTTGTCCCCATTGATTTGGCCAAGCCTTGCACCCTAGGCCCCTCTTGGGTAGGAGATGTGGCCTGATGCGTTGTGGGGGAACTTTGTCTTAGGCTAGGAGAGTAGGGGAGGAGATTGTGTATGGAGATGGTTCTCAAACTTTGGCAGGTATCAGGACAAGCTGGGAGGCTTACTACTGACCTCACTCCCAGAAATTCTGGTTTTTTTTGACCTAAGAATTTGCATTTTTCTCTCTCTCAAATAAATAAATAAATAAGTTTCTTTTTTTTTCTTAAGATTTTATTTATTTATTTGAGAGACAGAGAGTGCAAGCAAGAGAGCAGAGAGAGAGGGAGAAGCCGGCTTCCTACTGAGCAGGGAGCCCCATGTGGGCCTCGATCCCAGGACCCTGGGATCATGACCTGAGCCGAAGGCAGATGACACTTAACCGACTGAGCCACCCAGGCGCCCCTTGTGTTTTTCAAAAGTTTCTAAATGGTGCTGATAAGGCTGGTTTGGCGTATTTTTGGAGAACTACTGGTGTAGGGCCAAGCATGTATCCTGGAGGCAAGAGGCACTACCAGTGTAGTGATGTGGGAGGGATTAGCATTTATGAAGCTGGATGGCGTGGTCATTTGCGGAGAGCTGGGCCCACTAGGTATAAGATTTAAGTCCTCAGGCCTAATTCTGCTGGACTGATAAGGGATGAGACCTCTGATCTGGAAAGATCTGTCTAGGCTGAGCTCCCTATCTCATCGTCACCTGTCTCCTCTCTTTCACAGGTGCTAGGCCTGGTACGGGTGCCCCTGTACACCCTACGGGATGGTGTGGGAGGCCTGCCTGCCTTCCTGGAGAATTCCTTCATCGGCACTGCGAAGGAGCAGCTGCTGGAAGCCCTCCAGGATCTAGAACTGGTGGAGCCTGGTTCTCTTACAGCCTGGAAGGTCTCCCTACCTCGCTAGAGGCAACCCTCTGTGGACCCATGGAACCTGAGATGAGGATCTTGGTATAAAGGAGGGGAGGAAGGGACGGGGAAGGTTTTCTCTTCTGGGCCTGGGCCTGATAGATGATAACAGATTAAAAGAAGTATGTGCAGTACATTTGAGCAGAGCTCCGCCCCTCCCTCCCCCCACCCGCCCCAGGAACTCTCAACATCCAGAGCAAAAATGTGCAGCTCATCCCAGGGACCCTGGCAAATTCTCAGAGCCGGCCTCCTCTGTCCGTTTGCGCACACACAGCATGGCAGCCCCCGGACATGTGAATGTGCGGTCTGTGCCCACATACAAGCTGACGCCTCCCCCACAACCCCTATGTGCAGTTTAACCAGCAAGTGGCACGTGTGGGGTCTAGCTTGTCATCGGAGCTGTCTCCTTGTTGTGGGGGGGAGCCTCTGAACCAGGGGAGCGTCTCTGCCCACCCTCCTACATGGCTGTTCTCCAGGCTCTAGCCCAGTCCATGCTTGCTGGAGAGGAGAGAGAGAGAAGCAGAGGACCCCTTTCCCCTGAAAATGGCCGCATCCTTGCCTGGGTGTTGGCAAAAGCAATATACTCCTGAAAGGTGGTAGAGGGTCCTAACCAACCTCCTGCCTTCTTCTGAAACTGAGCAGAAGGGGTGAGAAAAATGGCCCAGTCTCCTTGGACTTGAGACTTCTGAGTCCTGGTGCATCTCCTCCAAAGCTTTCATCTGGGATTCCTTAGACTGGGGACATCAGAAAGGAGTGGACCCAGCCCTGGTCTAGCCCTGTTTTTTTCAAAAGATCCTGCCAGTAAAGAAGGGCTTAGACCTGAGCCTCAAAGCCCTTCACTTTTTTTGACAAATAATCTGTCTGAGGTATTGGAGGTCTAGGGATGAGAGAGCCATAGGTCTTGCTCTCCTCGTGGTTAAAGGGCTAAATGGCAAATATTTCAGGCTTCGTGGTCCACATGGCTTTTGTAGCATCTGCTCAGCTCTTTCGTTTCAGAAGCAGCAGTGCACAACACATAATGGGCGTAGCTGTGTCCCAGTAAAACTTAACTTTATCAAAGGAGGCGACCAGCCTGAGGGCAATAGTGTGTCAACGCTTGCTCTAGAAAGGACGATAGTAATCAATTTAATTATGATGTTATGATGCCTGTTTACTTGTTTCATTTATGTCAGTGTTAAGAAAATAAAAGATTGATACAGGTCTCGCCTTGATATGTTTTACTTTTTGCTCAGGTGGTCTGGAAGGGCCGGCCCTCTCTAAAGAACATGCATGCCGAAAGATAAGGAGGAAGTACAAGGTAGGAGTGTGGGAGGGGTATTCCAGGTGTTCCAGGGAGTAGCACATGTCAAGATTCTGAGGAGGAATTTTGGCAGATTATCCCACACCAAGGGTAGGGGAATTAAACTCCATTCCTTTTTTTTTTTTTTTTTTTTAAGATTTATTTATTTATTTTGAGAGAGAGAGAGCACATGAGAGGGGGGAGGGCCAGAGGGAGAAGCAGGCTCCTCGCTGAGCAGGGAGCCTGATGCGGGACTCGATCCCGGGACTCCAGGATCATGACCTGAGCCGAAGGCAGTCGCTTAACCGACTGAGCCACCCAGGCGCCCTAAACTCCATTTCTTGACTGGGATGGCAGGGGGGTAAGCAAAGAATTTGCAGTCATCTTTAATTTGCCGGAGCATGGTCTAGAAATGAAGAAGGCCAGTAATTAGGCTCTAGTAAGTAAGGGGAGAGGACGCTGGAGAGCGGGCAGGAGCCAGATGGCACGTCACAAGGCACGGCCAGGGGTTGGCGGTGTGTGCAGCATGGCCTGGAAGGGGATGGGAGAGGGAGCGGGAGGTGAGGGAGGCTCCCACGGTGGCTTACGTGGGAGATGGTGGTGGTCGGCGCCGCAGTGGGAGAGGAGGTGGGGAGAAGCGGGTGCATTTGAGAGAGGTGTTGCTGGTGTCATTGACAGGCCCTCTGATGGACTGAGTGTGGGGTGAGGTGAGGGAAAAGAGGGTTCAAGGACGACTTTTTGGTTTGTGTCTTAATTTATCCAAGTTGTGGCTGGAGGGAAAGCCTGCGTGCGGGCGGAGAAGCTTGTGCAGGGGACAGAATCAAGGTCATTCTGGGCATGTCGAGACAAAAATCTGTGAGTCATCTGAGTAAAGACGGAATGGCAGTTTGTTGGACGAGGTCAGGCAGGGAGAGAAAAAAGAAAAGAGGGCTCAGGATGGGGCCCTGAGGAAGCCTGGGTCCCCGGGTTCAGGGGGAGGAGCCGGCCATGTTGAAGAGGACCAGGAGTTGAGAGGAAGCTGCTTTAAGACGGTGAACTCTGCCAAGTGCTTATGGGAATTTTGGTAAAATGAGGGCAGAACTGTCTGTCCATTGGATTTAGTAGCAGGAGGTTATTGGTGACTTCGAGGGGGGCAGTTTCAGGAACGGGTGGGAGGAGAGTGGAAGGCAGACCGGGGTTGGGTGGGTGGGTAGTGGGGGACCGCACAAAGGGAGAAGTTGGTCCTAAAGGGGTGTGGAGAAAGGGCCTGACACCTGGAGAGGGTATGGGGTCAGGGGCAGCGTTTCTGGCAGGAGACGGAGCATGAGTGTGTTGTGATGGGAACAAAGTAGGGCGGGTGCTGAAGGGCCATATGAAAAGAAGGAGGGCTGGAGCCTCTGACAGGAAGAGGGAGGGGCTCAGGGAGAGGAAGAGGAAGAACAGAGGTTGCGGAAGGCTGCATTAGTGATAGGATGATGGAGTTGGACCGCCTCGATTGAAATGAAGTGAGATCCATCAGCTGGATGTCGGTGGAGGATGTTCCCAGAAGGTACGAAGTTGTCATTCATCACGGCATGGAAAAGCAAGTTGGTTAAAGAAAGAGCAGAATGGCAGGGCAGGGTTGAGCTAGGGGTCAGTTTCGAGTAGGGATCTGGGCCCTCTGGTGGGTCGGGGCGGCGGGGTATGCACGCATGCACCTGTCTTCCCATCCCAGGTGTTCAGCAGCTAGGATGAAGCCTCCGGTGCCGAGCTGGGTTTGTATTACAGAGGAGCGCAGGGAAGGGAGAGAGGCAGGGCGGGAAGGAAGGCCTGCACCAGAGAAACCTTAAGGATGGGCTGTGGGGTAAGAGGTTTGATCTGCGTACAAAGGGAAATGAAGACAGGTATTTCAGGGGGGTTAGCGCATGAGGGGTCTTGATGAGGCAGAACTCCCAACAGGTGGGGCGGTGGGTCGTTCGTATCTGAGCCAGAGGCGGATGCTTCTGAAATTGAAAGGTGGAGCCGTCACAGGGCAAGTCAAGGTCTGTGTGATGAAGCAAGACGCAGATGTTGGAGAAGCTAGCGTGGACTAGGAGCCACCGTCCTTAGTGAACAACAAGGGTGACCTAAAGGCCAGCGACAGCTGCCAGGAGGGGACCGCGGGCATGACAGGGCAGTGGGAGCCTCCAAGGAGAGGGGCTTTTGCACAAAGGAGGGGTGAGTGGTGGGCCGGAGGGACAGCGGGGAGCAGTGTGGTGCTGTGGCGGTTCCTGGCCCTGGAAGGGGCTGGGGGTGGGGAGCAGCTGTAGAGACAGGGCCTGGGCAGGTCCGCCCGCCCAGAGCGCATTCTCGCATTCTCGGGTGTAGCCTGGCTGAGCCTCCCACCTCCCACCGCGTTCACACAGCCCCTCGATGGTCCTGCATCTGCTCTCCCTGCCTCCTGGCACTTGAGCCCTCGGCCTACTTTTTTATTCCTACTCAGTCTCCTTATTTTGGTAAGTCTCTGGTGATATTGAGGGGGAGAATCCATGGCCTTCCTGTGGCCTCCCACACACATACCCTCCCAGTCAGTGAGCCATCTTAAAGGCGTCCATCGTTCCGTGGCTTGAGTACACGTTGCTCGCCTCGTCCCTCCAGTCCACAGGCAGGCCAGGGGGCCGGCAAGTCTCTCCCCGAGGTCTCTCCCTCTCTCACCCATAGTTGTCCCTGCTGTCGGACGGGGACACCTGGGAATGCTTGTCCACATGGGATCTCCCTGACCTCGTTAAACCAGCCATCGGGTGGTGACATCAACCTTCCCAGCGGTCCTCCCCTTAGCTGCTGTGGGGACCGTCAGCCAGCACCTGACCTATTCCTTATCTGAAACACCAGGGTTATGTTCCTGGGGGGAGGGCTCACTGAGGCAGCACTGGGGACGGGGCCTCAATATTCACTGGTACTCGATGCTGGCCACGTTTGGCTCCTGTTTGTGAGCGTGTTTGTCTCTGGGAGGCTGAGCAATCCAGGCTGCCCCCCGCCCCCCCGCAACGCCCCCTCCACGCCCAAACATATTTCTGCCTTTCTCAGAATCAGCTACATATTCACACTTCTCAGTTCTGTGCTTTTTCCTGGATTATGCGGCTGCTGGTGCTGAGTTAACACTCCTGGGCCCCAGGCTGTCCTGAGCCAAAGTCGTACTCAGTTATCAAGTTTCTGGCCAACCTTTTATAAGCAGCAATATCTGAGGGAAGTGTCGCTGGTCCTTCCCAGTTACTTGGGTCCTCAGAGGCTGCTAAGTGAAACAGAGAAGGCAGACGTAGAGAAGTGGGAAGGGATGTTTTCTGCGAGTTTCAGTCTCTTGCAGAGAAAACATTTTTTTCCCCCATACTTTCTACCCCACACAGACAAAATGAATGGGACAAAAAAATGAGAGGGATAAACATTTTCTCTGTGATGAAATTGGTGAATGGAATCAGAATTTGAGCCAAACGAACAGAGATTGGCCCTAGGCCTAGCTCAGAGGGGCAGAAGAGCAGGAAGTGAGGGAATTCTATTTAAAACACAATTCTGAGGAAGAGGGACTGGGGACATGGTCAGGGCAGGGGAAAAAGAGAAATATCCACTGGATTTAAGGCCACAGAAAACTCCGTAAAGGAGAAACCACATGGCCTCACCTTCCCTGGTCCCTCTACTTTGTATCTGACTCCGCTTGAATATGGAAGCTCGTGTTCCCTCCAGTGATAAAGGCAGCCTGGCAGAGAGTTGAAACCACCTTGTAGGCAAAGCAACACTGGCATACAAGGAAGGACAGGTCCTGCAAAGGAATCTCCTCACCTAGC